GTGAATATTAAGATAGAAAAGTGTGTGTGTGTGTGTGTGTGTGCATGCGCATGCACGCCTGTGCACGTATCTCTAAGAATCTGGATCTAAAAATTTGCTGACAGATATAGAGAGAGAAAGAGAAAGAGGAAGGAAGGAAGAAAAGATGAAAGACAGACAGATTGCATGGCTTTTTATATTGGTTCTGCAGACTTTAACCATGATAGAAACACTCCAGTTTCAAACAAAAGAGACAAGGATTCTCTTGGGGTTTGCCACCTCAGACTACAAAAGGCACATCAAGCCATATGTTTTTTCTAAGATGGTTTCCAGGTGGTCATATTCCACAAAGCTCATGTTCTTCAGTGAGAGGGATGGAAGCTTTTACCAGTTCTTTAGAATTCAGGAGGTGTCTTTAGTGCCTGGTTCATCTCATTCAGGAGATGTGGAAAATACTGCTTATGAGCCACATGGGGCATCTCTTTTGGGGGGGGAGTTTCAGGCAAACTCCTTGCACCCTGAAAAAAAGCCCAGCATGCACACATCCATCATGATAAGCAAAAAAAAAAAAAAAAACCTAGAAATGTTTTAACATTCCTGAAGGTGTCCTGGTGTTTTAATATTTTAAATGTTTTAGCACTCCTGAAGGCAGATTTGCCCATCTCCATTTCACTCTTTACAAAACATACAGACAAAATTTTTTAAAAGTTCCCAACATGTGCAGAAGTTGCAACTGGAAGTGACATTGTCATCATCACCACCATCCTCAACATTTTTATTTGTAGCCCTCCTTCTCCCAAAAACCAAGTTTCATGGAGGCTTAAAAATTAAGACAAGTACAAGATGGTTAAAAATACCATAGTGCAGAGCTAAAAATAGAAAACTGAGGGATTATACATACTTCTCTTAAAGGCAGAGGTAATTTTCAGAAAAAAGTTGATATATTACCAAAGACTTCATATGTTCACAACCTAGCAGCACCCATTCTTAAAACAGCAAGAAGGAGTTCTTGATGGGGACTGAATGAGACTATTTTGCAAAACAAAAAGATAGTGGAGACTTGCCAGAAGAAAATGAAGAATTTTTTTGAAAATAATTTGGATAAAAGTACCAATATTAGAATGGTATGGGATACAAGTAAAGCATTTGTGAGAGGATGTGTTAATTCACTGTAGTAGTGATTTAAGGGGGGGAGGCAAGACAAGACTCAAATGTCTCAAAGATTTTGGAAGAGTTACAGAAAAAGGAGAATGAACTTAAAAAGTCACCCTCAAATACTTTAATTATTAATCAAATTAAGACTTCATAAAGACAACTATCAATGTTGATGGTGGATGAGAGAAAGAAAAAGTGAATTAATTGAAACAAAAGAACTTTGCATTTGCAAACAAAGTGGGAAACTTATTGGCTTATAAATTATGGAACGAGAAAGAAAAGAAAATGATTGTGACGATATGAGGGTGAAAATGTGATAACTAACAATGAGAAGATTTGGAAAGCATTTCAGCAATTTTACTCCTCTTTGAATAAATGACAAGAAATCCATGTGAAAAAGTTGGAAGAGTATGTATCTAAACAGAATCTGTCAAAGATTACAGAGGAACAGAGTCAGAATATAGATGCATCAACTGTTCTCAAACTTGCATCAACTGTTCTCAAAAAAAATATATATCTGTTAACTCCCTTTAGCAGGGTTATTGGTTGGTATAAATTTTAATTTATTAGTTGCATTCTGTTTTAATTTGACTTGATTTAATAGTTTTTTAAAGGGGGGAGGGGGGAATGGTGTGTTTTAGATTGTATTCATTGTATATTGTATTTTATCATGTTCACCGCCCGGATTGGTTCGCCATACGGCAGTATATAAATAAAAATTATTATTATTATTATTATTATTATTATTATTATTATTATCATCATTATTATTATTATTATGCTCCAATAACATTAAGAGAAATGTGTGATGCTATCGAGAAGACCTCTACTGGGAAGACAACAGGGCCAAACGGGTTGTTGGCATATTACTATGGGTGTTTTGAAGAGGCGCTCTTACTCCTATTGGAACAGGTGATGAATTCCATTTCATTAATTGGAAAGAACCCTGATAATTGGTAAGAAGCTAATAGAACAGTGATACCTAAAGAAGAGAAAAATTGACAATAAAAACTATCAACCAATATCACTGTTGAATAATGACTATAAGTTGTTTACTTTAATTTAGTAATAGACAATATTATTCTTCAGATAGACTTAAAATTATCCTTCAGGATTTTATCCATGAATATCAGGGGTTTAGACTAGATGGCCTTTGTAGTCTCTTCAAACTCTCATTCTATTACTTTATTATCCAAAGAATGCTAAAGATGATTAAAACCTAAACTTTTCTTCTATGATTTTGTGGATGAGCAATTAGAAAGAAATTATGGAAAAACACTTCAATATACAATCACAGCCACAAGATTACCATATTTTCTGGCATATAAGATATCTGGGCGTATAAGATGACCCCCAACTTTTCCAGTTAAAATATAGAGTTTGGGATATACTCACTGTATAAGATGACCCCTCTTCCAACACACACCAAATAAAAATTAAAAAAAAAACATGAGATTTTATTTCAATCTGGTAATTTTAATTCAAATGCTTATGGCATACAAGTACTTAACAGGAAAACTGTCACTTATAAACGCAACAAATTACAGCTCCCATGTTCCCTAGCATTTATTTCTGCAGTGTGTTTTGGACCTTGCTTTTTAAAAAATAGTCCAGATTTAAATGCTGCTTTAAAAATTATTTCCATCTCCCAGCTATGAGATGGCTGGGGAAAAATGGGAAAGTGTTGGGGGGAAGGACTGCCAATATACTAGATGATGCATTATG